TTGGGTCACATCCAGCGATGCACAGGGGTTACTCCTGGGTCTGCACTCAGGAATTACTCCTAGCGGTGCTCAGGAGACCATATGGGATGCCGGAGATTGAACCCGGGTCGGCCCCGTGCTTGGCAAATGCCCTACTCGCTGTGCTATCACTCCAGCCACACTGTCATTTATTTGTGTGTCTGCCTCATCTGTGAATTAGAAGTCGTGAGGAACTTTGTCAGGACTGCCCACAGCTGTCTCCCACTGCCCAGAAAAGCACTGGCGCTTAATTCACTCTCTGGAAGCAGGTAATGAAGGCCCCCAAGGCCAGATGGACCCACACAGGCCCCCTCTGGCAGCTGCTCAGTATTGCCCGGAGGAGAGGCAGGATCTCCAGAATTCCTTGGCCTTCCCTTTGCTTCCCTGGTGCCCTGAGTCCGGGGAAGGTTCTCCAGCTCTCTGGCTGACAGGGCTTCCCAGGAGTCCATCTCTCTTCAGGAGTCTGCTTCCTGGGGAGCTGCAGAGGGAGCCCTGTGAGTAGTGAAGGGGTCATTCCAGAATATAAAGGAGCTATTTCAGAAACCCTGGGGAGATGCCTGTAGTCTGGCTGAGGAGAGCCAATCTCTGCATCAGGGTCAAGGTGCTGGAGCCAGGGACCCAAAGCCCAGGGGTAAGGTGAGCTCTGAGCTCAGTCCTTCCCAGAACATTCTGTGGCACCCGTTAACATATAAGACTGGAGCTATAAGTGGGAAGTTGGCCAAAACCTTTGGAAACTGGCTAAAGGGCAGGAAACAAAGGGCAGCGGTAAAGATCTAAAAGGATGTTAATGGGGAAGGGCCTCGGGGAATAGTTCTGGGACCAACTTTTTTTATTATTTACATAAAAGTTACTTGGAGAATAGTATTGAAAGGGATTTCCACGTTGGCGAGTGAAAGCGCACTGGAGAGCGGTATGTGGAAATGCAAAATAGTGGAATAGGGAAGGAGTCAATGTGCAGCTGGAACAGAAGAAGCGCATCCTATAGCAGGTTCTGTTTAGCAACCCAGGCCCGTTCTCCTCGGCCGTTTGAATGGCAGGCAAGACAGCTTTGGCTTGAGCAACTCCAGTCTCCAGATTTTTAGGGTCAGTGCAAAGTGCTAAAAGAGGTTTTGGCCCTGCATGCCCTGGACAGGTCCTGAAATGAAGTGTTACCATCAGGGCTAACAACCACTCTTTTATCACTTTTTTTTCTATTTATTTAACTTCAAATATTTTACTAGGCTGAAGAGATACGCACCAGGCTGAGCACATGCTCAAAATGCAAAAGGGGTCTGGATTCAGTCACCAGCACTGCCTGGTCCCCCAAACACTGCCAGAGTGACCCCTGAACACAGAGCCGGGAGTAGCCCCTGCACATTACTGGAAGTGACACACACACACCCAAAACCAAAGTAAGGCATTTGTCTTGCATATAGCTAACCTGGGTTCAATCTCCAGCACAATGTATATCCCTGAGCACAGAGCCAGGATAAGCCCTGAGTATTCTCAGATGTGGCCCCAAAACCAAGAAATAATTTTTGTAGTTTTTGAGGTAACATTATGGGTTTTTTGGGGTTTTTTGTTGTTGTTGTTTTGTTTTTTTATTTGTTTGTTTTTGCCTTTTGTGTCACACCCAGGGATGCAAAGGGGTTACTCCTGGCTCATGCACTCAGGAATTACTCCTGGCAGTGCTTGGGGGACCATATGGGAGCTGAGAATTGAACCCGGGTCGGCCGCATGCAAGGCAAACACCCTACCCACTGTGCTACTGCTCCAGCCCAGAATATCTTAAATGAAATAACACACGCGGTGTAACCATATAAGTCAGGACTTGAAGTTGGGAGCCCAGGAATAACGTTTCTTTTTTTTTTTCCTTTTTGGGTCACATCCAATGATGCTCAGGGGTTACTCTTGGCTTTGCACTCCTGGCAGTGCTCAGGGGACCATATGGGATACTGGGAATCAAACCCAGCAAACGCCCTACCCGCTGTACTATCACTCCAGACCCCAGGAGTAACATTCTATATTGTCTTCCCTCAGGGATGGTCGAGGCACTGGACAAGTCACCTTGGTCATAACCCTGACCTGGTATCACTTGTGTCGGCCTTGCTGTTCAGCCTCTCGTCTACCACGCTGCAGTGTCAGCACCACAGGCTCAGAAACCTCAGCCCAGGACTGAATTAGAATATGCGTGTGGTCAGGATACTGATTCCTGTGCAAATAAACCTTTGAGAAGTCCTGCTCTGAGACACACAGATACCACAGAAAATGATCAGACGGGCTTTGGGTCAGTTGAAAACTCAGACCACAGAAGTTCAACTGTGCCTGAGGACACAGTTCTGGCATTTGGGTCTCTGTCCTCTAGTAAACAAATTTAAGATCCCCCTCTTCCCCCTCTAGTTTTCATTAATTTGGCCTCTGAAGGTGAGTGCCTTCTTTCTAATAGAAGTTTATCCCTAAGTGAACAGGCCTTTGGAAAAGATGTTAAAAGCCAATCCAATACACTCCTGAGTACTTTTCCCCGAGCAAGGTCCATGAACTGGGCCATTAGCTAATTGTTCCATCTCATTTGCAGTCCACAGAGGGCTGGCACCTGGAGGCTGCTTTACATTTAAGCTGCTTTTTTCAGAGGCTCTGTGAGTAGGTGTGGGGCCTTTGTTCTCTATTGCTGGGTGTAGGCTGAACCAGCCTGATGGCAGGGTGTTACGAGCCTAGCAAACCTTTCTAGGCCAGAGACGGTTGGCTTTCTAAGACAGATTTGAGCAGGATGTGTATCCCTTATGAGTGTATCTCTGTAGCCCTGGGATGAAGTAATGGTAACTGTGTGATGAAGGAGCAGGGGAATAGCTGCTTACCCCATTTTCTTCTCCCCACCCTGACTTTGGCCTACAGCTTTCTTTAGACTGTAGGTGCCGGAAGATTGATGACGTTGATTGCTTTTGTCCTCAGGACATGAGATGGTACAGGTGAGGGCTGGTTCTGCCAAATTAAAAGAGAATAATGATGCAACCTAAAATGAATCCTCCCTGGCCCCACCAAAGAAGGGAAAATATAGAATTGTGGCCTATCCCAAAGAAATGTTGCTTTTTTTTTCTTTTTGGGTCACACCTGGCAATGCACAGGGGTTACTCCTGACTCTGCGCTCAGGAATTACCCTTGGCAGTGCTCAGGGGACCATATGGAGTGCTGGAAATCGAACCTGGATCAGCCGTGTGCAAGGCAAATGCCCTACCCGCTGTGCTATTGCTCCAGCCCCAGAATTTTAATTTTGAATTCTTCTGAGTTTGTTTAGGGTTACTGTGTTCTTTTCAAAGCATTTGGGTAGATTTTGAAATACCCAAATCATTATAGAGATGAGTAGAGACTTACGAGTTTGCCAAGTCACACTTTGGTGGTTCAAACTTAGAATGTGTCCTTTGGGGGCCAGGGAGATGGTTCAGGGGTTAAGGCACTTGCTTTGCACGTGGGCAACCTTGATTCAATCCCCAGCACCACACATGGTCCCCTGAGCCCCATTAAGAGTGATCCCTGACCACAGAGCCTGGAAAACCCTGAGCACTACCAGGTGTGGTCCCCCCTGCAGAGAGAGAGAGAGAGAGAGAGAGAGAGAGAGAGAGAGAGAGAGAGAGAGTGTGTCCCTTTATAATTTAGACTTGACTGAAGCTCCACTTGAAGCCCCATCCTCATAAAAAAAATGAATCCAGATCATTGGGCTTTGGAGCAAATAAGTCAAAAGGTGGCTCAATTCCATATGACCCCACAATACCTCTTCTGGGAATATATCCCAAGAGTGAAAAAAAGCACAGTATAAATGACATCTCTACCTATATGTTCATTGCAGTGCTGTTCACAATAACCAAAATCTGGAAACAACCCAAATGCCCCAAAACAGATGATTGGTTGAAGAAACTTTGGTACATCTACATAGTGGAATACTATGCAGCTGTTAGGAGAGATGAAGTCATGAAATTTGCTTATAAGTGAATAGACATAGAAAGTATCATGCCAAGTGAAAGGAGACAGAGAGGGACAGATATAGAAGGACTGCACTCATTTGTGGAGTATAAAATAACATAACATGAGACTGACACCCCAAGGACACAAGGTCCAGAAAGATTATTTCAGAGTTAGAAGCCTGCCACATGAGTGGGGGAGAAGGCAGCTAGAATAGAGAAGGGATCACTAAGAAAAATGGTGGTTGTAGGGATCATTCAGGCCGGGAGATGTGTGCTGAAAGTAGATAAAGGGCCAAACATGGTAACCTCTCACTGTCTGTATTGCAAACTCTATTGGCCAAAAGTAGAGAATATGGGGGAAATTGCCTGCCATGGAGGCAGTGGGAGGGTGGGAAAGAGGGATATACTGGGGAGATTGGTGCTGGGGAATGTGCACTGGTGGAGGGATGGGTATTTGATCATTGCGTGATTGTAACTCAAACATGAAAGCTTGTAACTGTATCTCACGGTGATTCAATTTAAAAAAAATTAAAAAGGTGGCTCAAATTATTAAATGAAATGAAACATGGCTCCTTAGTCCAGAACCACTATATCCAGAGCAGCTATTAAGGACTCTAGGCTGGCCTTACAGCATCGACAAATTGAGGGTACAGGCACAAAGAAATCTGCTGTTTAGATTACTAATAGCCCCTAACATGAAGTGGACCCTTAATAAATGTTTGCAGAATGGATATGCAAAGGAAGAATGCACGCAAGTCTCTGACTATTCTCCCTAACAGTGTACCTGCTGTAGGTCTTCATCCTGGCTATCACTTGGTTATTACATTTTCATTTAATTTCTTCTTACCAACTACTGAGCCTCTCTCTTAGACTCATTTGTAGTTGTGTATTGGGCCCCATATGTCTGCAAAGGCGGTGGTCCCTGGCAACAAAGCTCACTTACGTGTGGCAATAATAAGGCAGGCAGGGGAAAAGGTAAATCAGAAGGGAATTTGGGGTATATTGTGCGCCTACCTTCTTAAGCAGGGCTATTCCTGTTCTTTTCAGGTAAAAGTCTATGATCTCTCCAAATATGAGCATGGAGCAGATGACGTGCTGATCCTGGCCACTGACGGACTCTGGGATGTTTTATCAAATGAAGAAGTGGCTGAGGCAATCACTCAGTTTCTTCCTAACTGTGATCCCGATGACCCTCACAGGTTCGTGCATTTCTCTGACTGTAAGTTTGTGCCTGTTTTTGTGATGTGACTAAAATGAATAGTTATCAGGTGATTTTTTTAAATTGCTAATATCTTTATTTTTTTTAAATTTTTATTAGTAAAACACCATGAGGTACAGTTGTAGACTTACAAATTTTTGTGCTTGAGTTTCATACATTCATGATTTCTAGCAAAGCTGAGAGGGAAGATTTAGTAATCAAACTGCAGAAGAGATCGTGTTTCTTCTGAGAGAGACATTTCACCATCAAGGAAAATTCCTTCTTAAGTTGAACCTCAAGGCAAACTGATAAAGAATTTGGGGCCTCGGGATATAGTTCTCTGTGGAGAAGCACTTTTCTTCTATGTGGGAGATGCTGAATTTTATCCCAGCATTGCCCACCCCATCCCCTACCAAGAACGTGATTTTAAAGATATTTTTGCAGCTTTTTTTTTCTCACAGTCTTCATGTCCTCTAAAGTAATAATCCAACTTGATCCTCCTGAGAAGTATGAAAGTAATGTTCTGAGCCTAGATTTTCCTCCGGTTTGGAATTGTTTCTTTTGGGAAAGGAAAGAAATATTCTAGAATAGGTATTCCTTTATAAAGTGGCATTATAAATATCCCAAAGAACTCTAGGTGACTCAAAAATAAATAGATATCCCGTCTTGAGAAAGGCAGCTTTGGTTTAGAACAAGGAAGCAGAACACCATGAGTAAAAACCAGTAGACACAGCAGCAGAGTGAGACCTGCAAGTGCTTCGTCCTTAGATCTGTTGGTTAAAAAAGGGCGGGAGGGGGCCACCAATCTAGCATTTCAGAATTTTTGTTTGTTCCTAGTCTGCTTAGTTTTGCATTCAATGTTCAACTCCCAGAAGGGCTTGAGGGCCCATATGCTCAGTAGTCAAAATGTGGTCTGTATTTAACAATGGAATATTATTTAGCTTTCAAAAAGCTTTAAGAAGTTTTTGTACATGCTATATAAACATTGAAGACTAAGGAAGATACGCCAGTCAGATGAGGTCAAACATCGTATAATTCTATTTATATGAGTTGCCTATTTAGATTAGAGAGACAGAGCAGATTGGTAATTGCCCGGGACTGGTATGAGAGGGACAGGGACCAAGTAAGAGAGCATGTGTTTGAATCTGATCTTTCGTACCAAAAAACAAACAAGAAGCATACATTCATGAAAAAAGAGGAGGAAAAAATTCTAACATAGAACAACTGCTGATTACTTGTGAAAATATAGAAAGACTAACCACAGTTTATCTGGTACAGTTGAGTATATACACAACTCCCAGGAGTCAGAAGTTTCACTCCTAACTCTGTGTGTCATAGTGTAATATACATTCATTTATATTAAATTCTGAGGCCGTGTCTTTTTTGCTTTTTGGGTCACACCCAGCAAAGCACAGGGGTTACTCCTGGCAGTGCTTGGAGGACCATATGGGATGCTGGGAATCAAACTCTGGTCGGCTGCATGCGAGACGAACACCCTACCCACTGTGCTATTGTCCAGCCCCTGAGGCCATGTCTTAATGATTAATGGATCCTGTAATCACACTGCCTTTCACTTCCATGCACGGTGGCTTCAAAAGTAGGGTCTTGGGCCCATGGGCATTAGCGTCTTCCTACCAAGTCAGCCCTTTCTCATCTCCAAAAGATGCAATAACTCACCCAACCAATGAAAGCCAGAGATCAAAGTGTCTGGCATTTAGTACTCAGTACTGGATGTTTTGCCATTACATTCATTCTATATTTATTGCAATTTTTATATGTTTTATATAGTTCACAACAAAACTGTTCTTCTGAGGAGGGAAAGAAATTGAAGGTAGACTACCTATCTCCTCCTAGAAATTTTTGGGAAATTTAACTTAGGTGAACAAAATGGATGGCACTGTAATTCAAGATCCTTTTATCTGAATTCGAATGCAGTTTCCTCCTATTAAGTTTTGATGGGTGTTCTGTCCTAGTTGTTAACATTCTCCTGTTGGTTGTCTTTACTGTGATTATTTCTATAAAGTTTTGCAAGGCCAGCTGGCAGGAGTGAGGTTGAAAAGGCACCCAAAGCTTGCTTTGTATATATATATATGGGCTGGGAAGAGGTGCCAGGGATCAAATTCAGGGCCTCACACATTCAAGACAGATGCTCTGCCATTGAGTCACTTTCTCTGGCCTCCAATGAATTGTTTTTAAATTCTCTCTGATCTAGCCCGGTCTTACTTACCAGCCATTCTTCTTCCATGGCAGTAGATCTGCCCTCCAAGAATGGCAGCCTGGGGGCAGTGTGGGGGGCTGAGTCAGAGCTGGCTGGGGTATTTTCTGCGCTCTGCTTCCTGCTGAAGCAGTATTTTTCAACTGGGGAGCCGAATGACCCCAATGGCCTCTCTGGGGTTCCCTAGAATGTTCCATGGGGGCCATACATGAAAATTGTATAAGTGGGGACCATAGAATGAGACTAGGGGGCCACGAGGGAAGTGACAAGGGAAGAAACCAGACGAGACTGAGAAAAGTAAACAGTAGGAAGGGGCCAAGATAATACATGGATAAGTCACTTGCCTTATGTCAGCTGACCCAACTTCGGTCCGCTGCAGTGAGCACTGCAGGTTACGGCCAAGCCTCCCTACCCTCTAACACACACACACACATACACACACACACACACACACACACACACACACACACACCATGCATGTGCATACACACACACAAGAAAATAGTTTAAAAAGAGTTGAGAAACACTGGATTCTAGGAATACATAGAATGAAAGAAGATAAGAAAGAAGAAAGTTTGTGTTTTGCCTTTCAGTGCATATTGCAAACCAAAGCCCGAAAAAGATTCCATAATAGTAAAAGGAAAGTTTTACAGATAAACATGATTTTACTAGTATGAGATGGACTAGCAGGATGAAGATCAGAAAAATTTCTATTGGTTCGTTGATTGAAAGCTGAAAGTTGAACATTTTCTTCCTTGCCAAATCCTGCTTGGATTCATTTATTTAGGGTATTGTTGTAAGTGTTGGTGATGATGATGATGATGATGATGACGACGACGACGACGACAACGGCCATACCAAAGGTCAAACCTGTAGCCTCACACTTGGCAAGGCACGTGCTGCGCCCGAGTCACACTCCCAGCCCTTGTTTATAATGGGAAAGAATCTGGGAAAACAGACCTGGTTTTTGCATTCCTAAAGCTTAAAGTCTAGAGGAGGCAGAAGCATAGGGTGATAAAATACAGTGATTAAAGCAACCTAACCTAGAGCTTGAGATGTCCCAGAAAGCTTCCCAACAGGGGTCGGAGCAATAGTACAGTGGGGAGGGTGTTTGCCTTGCAAGCAGCCAACCTAACTTTGATCCCAGGCACCCCATATGGTCCCTCAAGTACCACCAGGAATAATTCCTGAGTGCAGAACAAGGAATAATCCCTAAGCATCGCTGGGATGTGACACCCACCCCCCGACTTCCCCCTTACCCAAAAAAAAACCCTAAAAATAGTTTCCCAATGGAAGGGATGTTCGTCCAGACTTTAAAAAACTAACGAATAAGGGGCCAGAGAGATAGCACTGGGGTTAAGGTGTTTGTCTTTAATACCTGCTCCCAGTTTGGTCCCTAGCACTGCATATGATCTCGCAGACACTGCCAGACCCAGGACTAGCCCCTCAGCACCACTGAGTGTGGTCCATTCCCTCCAATAAAACCACTTTAAGAATAAATAAACCTAAGCTAGAGAGTGTAAAGGTGAGTGGAACTGGGAAGGACATGGTGCCTTCAAGGAATCCAAGTCAGTATGACTGGCTGGGCTTTGTGTGGGGTAACGGCAATAGATGAGGGGTAAGAGATAAGTAGTATCAGTTCAGGTCCTGCCATCTGAGCTCACAAGATTAAGGACTATAAAAAATTACTTGGAGGAAGGGAAGTGTGTAGTAATGAGATGGAATTGTAGTTCTTTCATTCTGACCCACAATCAGATAACATTCCATATAATCTGACATCGAAAAACATGCACTGGAGATTGCTTCTCTAGCTCTATTTGTTCTTTAATAATAATTTAAGTCACATTGGGCAATCAGAGAAATTTAATTCATTTCAAACTCATGACTTGGGGATTATGTAAAAAGATGTTCCCTTTCATGTGTGTGACACATTTGCACATAGCTGTGTGCTATTTGGAAGAGGGGCGCCACACTCAGGCCCGGCCTCATGTGTCTTCTTGGGAGGCCCACGGACAAAGCGCTCAGCCCTCATGCCACTGTGGCCAGGGGGTTGCCTGGTAGTGCCCTCCCGCCTGGGCACCGTCTGATCTTGTCGTGCAAACAGAAATATGAATGGGAGTCATCCTCATAAATTGAGCCTAAGTTATAATGTCTGTTACGAAAAAAGATCTGCTATAATTCAGGCTCTGTTAGCCCTTGCTCAGCCAGAAGGATTCATTTCTCCCTGAATGTTGCCAAGGAACATGGGTTTACCTTTAGAATCCTGGCAGTGAGGAGAATGGAAGTTTCCCCAGTCCAAGTCTGAGGCTGGCCAAATGAGGTCAGCCTATTGTGTGATGGAAAGTAAGAAATATGGACTCTCCTGGGTAGCAGCCTAAGAGAGAAAGGCAAAGCAACATTTAATGTTTCAAATGGGGCCTGTTTGACTTTTTTTTTTTCTTAATTAACCAGGTCTAACAAGACTGAGTAGGCAGGGCATTAGCCCTGTGGCGAACAGGATTTGGGATTTTTGTCATCTGATTATTGGCTTTGTTTATGATATATGTAGGTTCTCCTTTTCTTTTTCTTATTAACGACAGCCCTTTTTAAAAAATTAAGGCACAATGTTTTACAAAATTGCTTATAATAGAGTTTCAGGCATGCAATGTTCCAACATCAATTCCACCAGCAGTGTGACCTTCCCTCCACCCGTTTCCTCAGGATCGCTCCCACCCCTCAGCCTACCTCCTCTGCAAGCACATTTTTTAGTTTGGTGGTTGTAGTTTGGTGTCATGCTTTCAGTGCAA